TTTTTGTTGATCAATAATTATTTGGAATTAATGAATTGTTTAGGGAACAACCAATCACATCCATTACCACTTTTTACTTAAATTTATTTTGATAAATAAAATTATTGATTTTTCTAATTCAATTCATAAACTTACATCTCCAAACTCTTCATAGGTTGAACACTAAAACTTTAATTATTCAAAAAACATACTCTGTAGCCAACTTATTGAATCACTTACACCAAAACCCATGTATTATTGTTTTGACATTAACTAACAAAGATTCGATCATCTTATGCAGCACAAGAAATCAATTAATTTTAACTTTAATTCAAACTTAAACTTCTCAGTCGACCACTATGATATGTTAAAGTCTAAGAATGGTTCCATAAACTTGATTTTACCCAAAATTTTATAGATTTATCATCACTCCCACTAATAATTAAATTAGCAGTATTATTGATAATCATACATACTACCCAATCTGAATGAGCAACTAATTTTTATTATGCTTGCCAATTTGATTTGTCTTTCATAATCCAAATAATAATAGACATGTCCTTACTACCAGAAATAAATGACATTTATTTTTTCATAAAATTTAAACAAGTAATCATATTTCTATGTTCTTTCAGCTATTAAATTAATTTTAAGAATCCCAACTTAAATTCATAAACATTTACTTCACCATTACAATATCCAGCTATCATAATCGCAGAATCAGAACTAAACGCAATTGCTTTACATTCACTTTCCTTAAAAGAATTGATTAATTCATATCTCTTACTTGAAATCAAAATTTTGGCATCAATTAATGCTTTTTAATTACTCTCAATTTATAAGAGGGCACTTTAAGTTTAAGTTACATTTTGAATAGTTGTAAGTTGGTAGTTATATCTCATTTAATCAGTCAATTATATTTAATTTTAGCATAATTAACGTATTTGAATCTAATTTGCTTCTATTTCTGCTTAAATTGTGTCATCAATAATCAGATGATAATTTTTATTATTTATGACTTTGGCGATTGATAATATATCATCAGTTGTCATCCCTGACCAATCTTTTTGTATTAAATATTATGTTTTTTTCTGAATTTCATCCATTCTATCTTCATTTGGTTCAAACTCCCCTGTATCAACCTATGGT